GTGTGTGTGTATATATATATATATATATATATATATATATACATGTTATTGAACAAAACTGGTTTATGACAAATGCATATTAAAGCTTTGTATATGTCTTAATTTAAAGCTTAAAGAACCAAAATCAGATAAAAGAGTTGCAGTAGAGCTCTTGACTGGTGGCTGCGGCTGAATGGTTAGAGCAGTCGTCCTCCACTTGCATGGGAGGACTTTAACAAGAATTTAACAAGATTAACACTTAAAACAATTTTTTGTTTGCTCAAAATTATAGTAAATGTGTGTCTCAGTCCAACATTTGCTTAATAAATGCACTTTAATGGTCAAATCAGCTGCATTTCACCGGGGTGGTGCAGCTGTTTTGACGGTTCCAATCAGAGAGCAGAATGAAGGTGGGGAACTATGGCAGGCCGATTGAGTCATTAATAGCTGGTGAATATTCTCTGTCATCCAGGACATTGTAAATTCTAAAATGTTGAAGAAAAAACAAAAAATTATAAAGTATAATAAATAAAGTCCAGTTGTTTTTGTCTTGAACTTTTTTGAAATTGTCATTATAGCCACATTTACCTATTACAAGATACAACAGCATGCCATACACTATTACTACTCTGCTGCCATTAAGTGGCTGAAAGTGGCACTGCTTTATTTTTTTCAGTCAGAATGAATGGAAAGGTCATATCTCAGCCAAAAAATTGTTTATAAATATGGGGAAAAAAAATCCATAAATATGTCGCTTCGGCCTATAAGTCGCAGGGCAGGTAAATTATGCAATAAACAGCGATTTATGGGCCAGAAAATATTGTTACTATTTGTACTACTTTCCCTACTTTGCGGTTTTTCACTTATCGCACGCGTGGGGGGGGGGGTCCCCTAAACCCCACGATGAACGAGGGACTACTGTATACAAGGAGTGATGTTGCATTACAGCAGGCATCAAATCTGAGATACTGTGTGTGATGGTGATGGACGGCCTGTGCACCTTTGTCGATAACTTCCAGCTTTTGCTACCCAGTGGACAGAAAACAGATGGCATCATGAGAAAGGAACATTATGTGAAAACTTTGAAGCATAAATGGGTTTTTCAAATGAACAATGACCCTAAGCAGATCACCAGATTAGTTTCAAGATAGCTTAAGGACAAAGCGTCTCAGTCGCTTAGAAAATTTTTGGGCAGAGCTGAAAAGACCACAAATTTCACTCATTTTCACCAGTTCTGTCAGGAGGAATGAGACAAACTTCTAGGAAATTATTGTAAGAAGCTTTAGGAAGAAAATCCCAAACATTTGTTCCAAGTCATACGCTTTAAAGGCAAAGCTAAGGAAATTAAGTTACTACTAAGAAAAAGTTTGTAAACTTGGTCACTTAAACAAAAGTATAAAAGTTGTGTAAATAAAAATAAAATTATTACTCATTATTATGACATTTAACAAAAATAAATCATTTTGTGTATCCTAACTGACCTAACGGAGGAAAGGTTTAGTGTGATTTAATGTGAGCTAAATGGTTGTGTGTTTTAATACAGTGTGTAAACATCTGGTATCGGCCATAGCACTTCACAACAACTATAATCTCAGGTTACTATAAAAAATTGTTTTCAACCAGTTTGACACGACTGTCAACAAGGAAGAGGGCCGGCAATTGAGGAGGGGGCGTGACAAAGAGACCTTCTTAGCACCAACATAACTGGTTTGTTCCACTTTGGAGTAAGCTGTTGGGGGAAGAATCAGTTTTGTGTTGTGCGTTTGCTTGACTGATGAAGCCTTCTGGATGGAAGATGAAACGTTTCAGCACAAAAAAAAAAAGAAACTGTCCAGATGACCTGACTGAAAAATGTTGGATTGTATACCTGGATTATTGAGCATGGACTTTGTTGTTATAGATGCAAGAGTCAAAAAGTAGGTTTACACCATGGTAATGAGATCTGCTGTGTTTTGGTTTGGAGATGGTGACTAACAAAAAGACAGGAGGAGGAGCTGGATGTCGCAGACATTTTCATTGGCAGCTAACTGGACAGTTTAGAAATGAGTATGTCAGAGGGAGAGCTCAGGTTTAGAGACGGAGAGATGAGGCTGAGGTGGACTGGATATGTTCAGAGGAGAGATGGGGGACGTATTAAACATAGAATGGTAAATATGGAGCTGGGAAGGAAGAAGAGGGCAGCATGGTGGCGCAGTTGGAGAGCTGTTGCCTCAGCGAGAAGTTTGCCGGTTCAAATCCCGGCCCAGGACCAGGGAGACCACAGAGACGGTTAAGGATGACGTTCTGTGGCTTGGTATGACGAAGGATACGCTGAGTTTGGGTGAGATGGAGGCAGATAATTTGTTGTGGTGACCCCTAAAAGGAACGAAGGGACTTTATTAACTTAAAATCACTCTACTGAAATTGCACTTCATGAATCAGGTTAATTGTAGTCGACACCTGACTTTAAAAGGTAGAAACCTATTCAGTGGGAAATGATCTACAATATGTAAAATATGAACAACCCTTGTTACTGCTTGTGCATAGAATTTTTATTTTCTTATTTCAAATGTTTCTTTTTTTCTTTTATCTTTCATCTTCATTGCAGTTTTTCTCCACCAGAGTTAGATGCAGCTAACGAGAGTCTGGTGAACACCATGTTTGTGGCCTGTATGGCAACCTGTCACTCACTGACCAGGATAGAGGGGGAACTCTCTGGAGACCCTTTAGACCTCAAGATGTTTGGCGCTACAGGCTGGGTAAGCAGAGAAGTGCAGTGATTTGCTTTCTCTGCCTCTAATGAAACCATTTGCACTAATGGATTGTGCAACAATACACTCTTATTAAGCAAAATTCAGCAGAGATCAATTTTTTATGTCGTTGGATTTACCCTGATGGTTTAGCACTTCGTATCACTCTTTGATACTGTTTTTGTTTAGATATTAGAAGAGCCAACGGAAGAAGAGACTGCGCTCCACAATCTGTTAATGCCCACAGTCGTTCGACCTCCAAAGCACAGCACGCCTGAAGCAAATCAGAACCAACAAGTCCAGGACAAGGTAAAGTGATTGTTCAATTCACTTCTATTCACTTTATTTACATAGCCCCCATTCACAACACGACTCCATCCATCCATCCATTATCTTTACCCACTTCTTCCTTTCTGGGTCTCCTTCCAACAAAACTCATTGAGTCAAATTCTTTTTTTCACATTCATTCCAATATAAATCCAGCTCAGTCCACTTCACCTCAGTTATAAAACATTGCAGTCAGAATTAGTAAGTTATATAAGAAATTAATAAAATGTTGTTATAGGGATATTATTGTGTGTACAGGCACTGGAATATTGAGGACTTTAACCTGTTTCTATATAAGCCAATGTTCCAAACATCATCTCTACATGAGTTTGAGTCTCAATCTGTTATAGGTATTACAGCAGGGATTCCTAACCTGGGGGACCTGCCTCCTAAAGGGGGTCCTAGAGCAAAGAGGGGGTGTGAGGCTTTAATGGCGCAGAGGCACTTACTATATTTTTGTACATATGCACAATATTAATACACTAAAATATTATCAACAGTCAGGATGAACATTTAGTTGCACCAAAAGCTGCTGTGGAAAATGGCTGCCTTTCACTGGTGACTGATTTTATTAATTAATAAAATTTTATGATAATAAAATAAAACAACTGAGAATAAACCATAGACGGATGCATTTTTTTTTTTAATTTTAAAAGCTTTCCTTGCTAATTTAATCTCTCTTTACAATGAGACCAACATCCAGATACAAAGTCCTACATCCAATATTTTGTGTAACTGAGGAACAGAGTTGGAGAAATTTCAAATTGGAGATTCAAGTCTGATGAACAGTTTAATGACTCTGTATGTTTTAACCACTGATTACTACATGATTCAGAAGATCGTTTTCCTTTTACCAACTTTTACCAGCGTCCGTCCTTCCGTCCGTCCGTCCGTGAGGGAGGGAGGGGACCCAACCCAACCCGAAGGGCCTTCAGTGAAGGCCTAAGAATTCAACACATGTGAAGTGTTACATTTAAAGTTTAATATTTATTTTATATCAAACATGAAAATATAGTTATCCAATCAGATAGCTTTAAATATTTGTCTCCAGACAGAAACATAAGGAGCTCTCATTGGTCAGGACTTCACTATCATTGGAGAAGGTGTAACTCAGTGAACGTCTCTCCAGGATGCGTTTGTTTAATAATTTACAGAAAAACTAATCAATCAGAATTCTCATGAGTGAGACCAAAACACGGTGCTCTGAGTTTGTGGGAACGTCTTGCAGACGTTTTTTTTTTGACCTCATGAAGGTTTGTGATGCAGTTAATTACAACATGTAAATTCAAAAATCCACACAAGGTTAGGTATGAAATTTAGGTTTACATTGATAATTTTTAATACTACAGTTTTAATAGAAACCGTAAGTTAACAGTTAACAGTAAGTAAACTCTCAAATCAAAAAGTATGTGGACTCATTTAACATCTTACCTCTCCATCAATCTGGTTTCAGGAAACAACACAGCACAACAGCTTCTTCAATGAAAGTTTTTAATGACATTGTTGAAGCACTGGATGCTAAGTATTATTGTGCTGCACTTTTCTTAGACCCGTCTAAAACTTTTGACACTGTGGATCATAACATCTTGTGTCATAAGCTCTCAGAAATTGGTTTCTCAGATCACACCATTAGTTGATTCTGTAACTACCTTCAAACCAGAGGCAATGTGTTCAACATAATGGTATTTCCTGTAGTTATTTAACAGTTAACAATGATGCACCACAAGGCTCAGTCTTAGGACCCACCCTTTTTACAATCTACATATGTAATGTAGGTAAAAACATCCCTGATGCATCCTTACATTTCTACACTGATGACACAGTTGTTTATTGTCGAGCTAAAACTGTTGCTAAGGCTTTCTAGCTTTTGCATTCTGCATTCAACATCATCCAGTCTGATTTGTTTCGCCTCAAACTTGTCCTAAATGCTGACAAAACCAAAGGAATGCTTTTTTCAAACAGGAAGTTGGTCCCAGCAGTTCTTCCTCTGATTTTATCCTCAAATGGTGTCCCCATTGAGTTTGTCGATTCCTACAAATATTTGGGTATCTTGGTCGACTCGCATCTCTCTTTTAAGCTCCATGTGGAAAACCTAGTAAAGAGACTGAAAGTTAAACTGGGTTTCTTTTTCAGAACCAGATCCTGTCTAACTCTGAATGTTAGGAAACGCCTTGTAACTGTGACTTTCCTTCCCTCAATTGATTATGGTGATATTATTTACATGAACGCTCCAACGAGCACTCTGCAGATGTTGGATGCTGTCTATCATGGTGCACTAAGATTCATAACTGGCTGTGATTATCGTACCCGTCATTGCACCCTGTATTCACTGGTTAACTGGACATCGTTAACTTCACGCAGACTCTCTCACTGGTATATTTTCATCTTTAAATCACTTCTTGGTCTGCTGCCTTCATACATCTCCTTCTACATGTCTCTGCGTGAGTGCAGCTACAGCGTGCGCTCTCAGGACATTATTATATGCAGTGTTCCCTCATTGAGAACTGAACTTGGTAAAAGGACCTTCTCCTACTCCGCTCCTGTTTCCTGGAATGTCTTACAAAAAGATCTGTAGCTCTCGACCTTGACCTCTCTAAGTGGCTTTAAGAATCTGATAATTTCATGGCAAAAACCAATGCAGACATGTTCCTGGTTTTAGTTTTCTACACCGCCTTATAATCTAGCTGGGTTTTTTTTTTCCACTACTTTTCCTTTTAATTATCCTTTTAATCACCATTTTATTTTCATTTGTAAAAAAAAATGTTCATGCCTCTTTTATGATTGTCTATTGTTGTCGTTGTTGTCCATTGTTGTCATCATTTGTTAAAATCAGCTCTCTCTTGTAAATGAGTCCCCGAGACTCAATGGGACTAACCTGTATAAATAAAGCTTGAATGAAAAAGTTCTGTAAGTTACTATTAAACTTCAGTGTGAATTATTAAAATTACATGTTGTACTTGAAGGTAAGACACTGTGAGCCGCATGTCCTTCTGGGTAATCTTGGGACAGAAATGGGTGGGCTTTTTCAGGTTTTGTGTTCAGATGGTTTTGTCCCTGTTGGTTTCGCTGTTTAGTGATGGGTTGCTTTTATGTTTAGGTTGTTGTTAGTAACTGTACAAGAAACGACACCATAAGTCCGATGTTGTGCTTGATGGATTAAAAGAGAAGTCTTTCTTGTCACTGTGTTACTGGAATGATTAACCAATAATAAGGTGTTGTAAATGCACTGTTACTCTGTGTCTTCCACGTTAGCATTTACTAGGGTTTTTTCAATATTACTTCCCAGCTGAACGCCTAGCTCTCAGTTGTAAAAATAATCACAAGTGTTGCACTTTCACATTTCCATCACAGAAGATGTACTCACCTATATTCAAGCAAATTTAGCCCGAAAGAAAACTTTCCAGGAGAACAATGGCAGAACGTTTTTGTTAGTCTACGAAAAAGCTGTTTGACTCAAACTGACCAAGCAGAGTTTCAAGTCGTTTTTCTATTTAGTACTAAATATATGTCTGAATGCTCCTTGTCACAAAAAACGCTGCTCCAACTGCTGCTAACCCCAACCCTAACATGTTAAGCCTTTGTAACATGGGACTTTTGCTCCACAGTCCTGTGAGATTGGTATCGTGCGTCAGTTTCCCTTCTCTTCAGCGCTGCAGAGGATGAGTGTGGTAGTTAGGAGGTTGGGGGAGAAACACATGGAAGCCTTCCTGAAGGGGGCCCCGGAGGTTGTGGCCAGCCTTTGCAAACCTCACAAAGGTCAGACATTTCTTCTTCTACACATTGGTTTTGGTGCAGACACTTCTCAGGTGCTCCTTCTGCAGTGCATGTCCTCAGGCCGGCCTGGCATGGCTCTGTCCTTCCCTTCAGTCCCACAGAGTTTCACAGAGACTTTGGAGAGCTACACGAGGAAGGGCTTCAGGGTCATAGCTCTGGCGCATCGACAGCTAGAGTCCAAACTTTCATGGCACAAAGTCCAGAACCTCAGCAGGTACGGCTCTAATGTCCGATAATATGCGTCACAGAACATTCAGCTGCTCCTTCCTCTTTTTAAAATCGTCTTTGTCTGATGCATGTTTGTTGATATTAAAGTTGAATTGAAATATCAATTTTTTATGTTTCCAATAAGTAAAAAGGTATACAATCAAAACGCACAACAGTGCAGTCAGAACTAACCACCAAGCTACTAGACTGAAGCAACAGAGTCCCTGTTGTTTTCATGCATATGACCAAAACATCTCTCTGTGAGCCAGGTAAAGAAAGACCGTAGCGACTCTATTGTGAGAGGTGTGTAGTTTAATCTGCACGTCAATCTAGGTTACATAAGTTTTTCACACAGTTCAAAAGTTGTTGATTTACTGTTGTCATAAATGTGGTAAAATGTTAACTAAAATAATACATGTGTGCAACAATAAGCAGCACAGGAGTAATATCCAGCTCAAATCACAACATTTTGACATGAAAAGGCCAAATTACATAAAGATTACAACAGTCAGTTTGAATTTAGTGTAAATCCACATTCTGTAATGTTGCAAAGGCAAAGAGGAAGGGAGGAATGAAAACAACAAATATTGATGTTTTTCAGTTCCCTAATGTTTATTCCCTAATTTATTTATATAGCACATGCAATAAATACAACAACGTTTGACCAAATGTGTTTTACAGTTTAGTCAAATACAAATGTAAAGCTGCACTAAGAACAAGAAAATACAGAGATCATGTGCCATCAAGGAAGCACAAGAAACATCAAAGTTCATGGTCAATAATCCAGGTTAAAAAATCCAACAAAGTTCAGTCTGGACCGTTTCATTTTGTTGAAACGTTTTGTCCTTCATCCAAAGAACTTCATCAGTCCGAGGACCCACAAATAAACTCAGTCCTACAAGCAGCACACTCACGTAGCGAGCCAACCAGTTTGATGGTGATAAGATGGTTGCTGGTGAAGTCCTTTGGATGAAGGATGAAACATGTACAAAAAATAAAAATAAATCGTCCAGATGACCTGACTGTACTATGTTGAAGCACAAGAAAGTTAAAAATAAAATGCAAAACACAACAGCAAGGTATAAGAAGCATCATCTCTAACTGGTTCTCAGACTCTGCATGGATCAAATGCCAAGGAATAAAGATGAGTCTTGAGCAAAGATTGAAAAGTCTCAGCAGTTTTTTCCACAATTTTAGAGCAGTGGCTGAAAACACCTGATCACCTCTGGACTTCAGTTTGGATTTGGGGACATCTAATCTGAGAAACTGGCTAAAAACTGACTAAAATAGTCCAAACAAGAGGTAATAAAAACATGAATCACTTTTTCAAGGTGGGAGATATCACCTTAGCAATGAGTCTTAATTGGGGGGAAAAAAACTTCATAACTACATTTATCTGTTTGTCTAATTTAAAAGCACTAGTATTTGCCAACCTTCAGTACATTATTTTCCAGTAATTGTAGCAGTATAGTCTAAATCAGGGGTCGGCAACTTTAAATGCTCAAAGAGCCATATGGACCGTCTCCAACAGAAAAAAAAACCGGAGCCGCAAAATCCCTTTGACATCTAAAATGACATGTTTTTGTCAGGGTTTTCTTTTTTTTTTTATCTGTATGTAACAAAAACATTTTGAACTTGGAAAAAAAGACGCTTGGTTGTTGCTTACGTTCAAATAAAATGCTCTGTCTATGAGTCCTCCTCATATTTAAGAAATAAAAAGCCAAACTTAAATTATACACCTGCAGAGAATCAAAAATGTGTCAGCGTCCGTGTTCCTACATCATTTTATTGCATGCACTGGAGCATGCAGTCAGCTGTCAACCTGAATAAAAAAGGGATTATTTCACTTAATGTCAAACATATACAGTATTTATGGTCTGCTGCTACTCTAACAATATCTGTGCGCTCCCGTAAAGCACCTAGCAAGATGGCGGCACACATATTTGCCTCACTGTAAACTGCACTGTGGTTAGCTATTGAAGTGTACATCTATTTCAGTGTTGCTAAGTCTTTGTCCTCACTCACTCGGACATTTCCTTCTGTGTTTGTCAGCAACAAGTTTTTTGTACAACTTCTCTTTGTCAGCTTTATCTGTGAACTTTAAAAAAGCAGCATTTTTGAAGGTGCCTGTTGACTAAACTCTGTTAAATAAAGTCAACAAAGCAGCATTGTAACTGCATATAAACATTCTGAGTTGTTTCACACATAGGCTGAGTCGAAATCAAAATCAGAACTTGATAAAATGGCATTGTGTTAAAACTAAACCTTTATCTCTTTGATATACAAATATGATCCTGGTTCACATCACCTTTGTTTTACTCATCTTGGAAGGAATAGTAAAATTTAAAACTAGTGAAGTTTATTATTTCTTTTTAATTTTTTTAATGGTTTGCAGGACTAAAAATCTGAATTTTCTGCGTTCATATTTTCTATGTACTGTCCCAATTTTTTAAAATCTAAATATTCCTGTTTACTGATTTTGTGAAATTTGGATTTAAAAAGTGACACGAGTTTTTAAAAAAAAAATTTTTTATTTGCTTTTAAGTGACAGTGAAGTTTTATGAAGTTCATGCTTTGTGTTTGTTGCAAAGGGATCTGATCGAGACCAACATGGACTTCCTGGGTTTGATCATCATGCAGAACAAAATCAAACCAGAGACTGCCGGTGTTTTATGTGAACTACAACAAGCCAACATTCGTACTTTAATGGTCACAGGTAACCACAGAGATGTTTACTCGTTCATGACTTTAATGATCAGTTTCTGTTTTGTACCCACTCCTTGTTTCTCCCTGACATCCTCGACCAGGAGACAACATGCTGACAGCCATTTCTGTGGCTCGAGACTGCGGGATGGTTCGTCCTCACGAGAAGGTCATTATTGCTGATGCTGTGCCCCCCAAAGACTCCTACCCTGCCAGCATCACGTGGTGTTACACCGACATCCCTGCTCAGACTGTCAAGGACAATCAGGTGAGCTCTAAAATGGGCCAAGTGCCACCACAACAGAAAGGTGATTTCAGGGTTAGGGTGAGGGAGTTTTTCCTTTCCACTGTCACCTTCATGCTTGCTCAAGATGAGAGTCTGCGAAGAAGTTAAACTCAAAGCAGTCTGCTCCTCAGATAAATAATGTTAAATTATTATTTTTATATATGAATGTTTCTGTTCAGTGCCCTGAGATGACTTCTGTTGTGACTTGGCGCTATAGAAATAAACTAAACTGAATTTTGGCATAAATAATTCAAAATTTCTTTTTGAAGTGATCCAGGCTGAACCAAAGCTGCTACAGCTATCTACCACTGCCTCTGTGTTCACAAATAACCATTGAAATAGTGTATGCACGAACTGCTACAAAATACAATTTGAGCCGTTTTAAGGCAGCAGCAATCTACTTTGATGCCTTTCAGGCTAGCTGTTAGCTCATCAGTCTCTCTGAATTAAACTTTATTTCTCCAAACTGAGGACGTTCAAAGAGCTATCTACAGCAGGAACGATTTTAATTCTTCTTGACTTGTCCAAAAAACTGTACTTCAAAAATCCCTGAACATCCCTTTAAAGAAATTATATTAAATATATCACAGAAACAGACATCACAAAGTACTTGTTGAACTAAAAATAAGAAGTAGAGATGAAACAACTACGCAGATACAAACATCAGGATAAATTAAAAGTCTAAAACAAATAGACGTTCAGTTCTTTTAAGCTTTCACAGTTTTCATAAATAATAAGTCGGATTAAAGAGAGATTTAAAGTCTAGAAGCGACAGCCTCAGTTTAGCCTAAATATTTTCATGAAGTCATTTATGCCGGTGCAAGCTAAGACCCTCAACACACAGACAAGTTTGTATTTCTACACAAATGACTGACATAATTTACTGCAGCTTTGGGAGCAAAGTTAAAAATCTGAACTCAGTTAACATGAGTCAACAGAGCGTCAGATTACATGTTCTCCAGGTGAATTCGGATAAGGTGGCCTTCAAGGCCAGCCAGGGAAGCCAAATTCAGATAAACACAGTTGTTTTGGGGACAGGCAAAACTTAATGATGTCTACCTTGAGTCTGTGTTGGTCCACTCGGGTTCCGAAATGTCCAAATTACGTGGCCACACCAAAAGAATGTGCCTGAGTAAAATCCCCAAGATCTGATCCATTCTGCCAAAAGCATTTGAGTCTGGGTACTTGAGACACGAACCAAGCCATCATAAGGCAAGCAGCATGATCGGGTCCAAATTTGCTGCTGACGACTTCCTTGTTTGTAGATAAACCAGCGACCAGCCAAATCCAAAAAGCAGGAACCAGTTATCATAAATCCAATTATAAATGTGTCCTTAAAATCCACAAATGGCAGCAGAGATAGACACATCATCAAGTTTTCCAAGTCGACGAGATATCCAGCTGTGTGCGTGCCAACAGGGCAAATCGGCTCATCAAAAGCCTGTCTTCTCTTCGAAGAAATGTTGTCAATTGTGATCTAATCAAGTTCATAATTATTGTTCGGAAGATATGCAAGAGAGGCTCAAAAGCAGTTTCACAGACAGACAGAGCAGCAAAGCGGAGAGGGAGAGGAGGGGGAAAAGCGTCCGACCTCGGCAAGAGCAAATAAACATATGTTTGCATAATTTGAGCTGACTCTTCCTTTTAAAAGGTGACGCTATCAGTTGTTTTGTTGTTTCTGCGTTGTTTCTCCTACAGAGTGCAGAGATACCCATGGAGGAGGGGGCGCATCACTTCGCTGTGAGCGGCAGAGGCTTTGCTGTCATCACAGAACACTTTCCTCACCTCCTTCAGAAGGTACAAACATAATGTCCATCTTATCGCATGTCAGCATCCAAACTGCTGTGATACAGTTCAGTTTTCTGTCCACATGGGGGTGCTGCAGCTCACACTAAGAGCCACTGTGTTTGCTCGCATGGCTCCAGACCAGAAGACTCAGCTGGTGGAAATCCTGCAGGGTGTTGAGTGAGCTTCTTTCTTTAGTTTCATTTTTGTTTTCTAAACTTTGCTATTCAATGTTCATCTGTCTCTTTACCTTCCAGCTACATCGTTGGGATGTGTGGCGATGGTGCCAATGACTGTGGAGTAAGTATGGATATTGCACAAACTGATGTTGTTTTTCTCGACTCAGTTTGTCATATAAATGTAACAAATCAGTTTTAACATTTTTTAATATCTGATCTGTCACACAAGTTAGGTCACAAATAAATAACAGGTAAGTGGAGGCGATGTCTGTGGGTAGAAGAAAACAGAACTGTAAGCCCAACATGAGTTAAAAGAAGAAATTGACATTACAAAATCTTATCTAACCAGGAAACATCCTTGAGGTTTAAGATCTCGGTTATAAAGTACCCTGGCCAAGACAAGCAGGAGCTCAACATCTGTATCTAGAAAGGAAGATTTGCACATCACCCATAAAAAAAACCTGCAACATTAAGCCTAAAGAACTATCTTCTGTCTTTGTCTCTGTCACTCAGGCCCTGAAGAGAGCTCACAGTGGGATTTCTCTGTCAGAGCTGGAGGCATCAGTAGCTTCCCCATTCACCTCGTCCACCTCCAACATTTCCTGCGTCCCCAACCTCATCAGGTGGAGACATGTTTCTGTTCCAAGCACGACAAAACCAGACACGTTGGGCAGAACAGTCATTGCATAGATTTTACAGCCACAGCTTCTCTTTTTTATCTGGATTTTTCTTTAAAGTTTGAACAAACTCCTGCAGCTGTGGCCCAGAGAGATCTTTGGCTCAAAATATGAATAAAAGAACCGTTTGACTAATATGATATTTTCTTTCTTTTCTTTCCAAAGGGAGGGCCGAGCTGCTCTCATCACATCTTTCTGCGTTTTTAAGTTCATGGCTCTCTACAGCATCATCCAGTACATCAGTGTCATCCTGCTCTACTGGGTAAGAACTGTGCATCTTTATTCTTCCTTGTTTTTTATCTTTGTGTTGCCAGAAAAAAAACACGTAGTTTGAGTCACAGCTAATAAAATGTCAAACTGGGATATAAAGATAGAACTGTGCTAATTTCAGAAAGCTTCAGAGCTCCACAGCGTTCGTGTTTACAAAGATCATGGAGTACAAAACAACAACTAGAATGTTCCTGGAGAACTTTTTGATGGGGAGTGCCATGTCGTGGCCATTTTAAATTTAGATTTGACAGTACTATGTGCTTGGGTTCACTCTCAGCTACCAACTTACCAAATTTCAGCTCATTGTGGCAAAAAATTTATGACTTAGTATTTTTTTTTTCTTAAGCTATGGTGGCCATCTTGGATTTTTAATTTGGATTCAGTATGTGATTGGGAACGTTCTCAGCAACCACACCAAATTTCAGCTCTGCATGTGTAAAAATCTCTTGAGTTAAAGCCATTTAAATTTAGCTTTGGTGGCCATCTTGAATTTTTTATTTGATTTCAGTACTTGTGGGGCATTGCTCTCAGCTACCACCACACCAAATCTTAGCTTAATATTGCTAAAAATGGTGGATTTATAGTTTGTTTCAATGAGACAATGGCGTCTTTGTTAGCAAATTACGTTGCCGTGGTAACTCTAAACGACAATAAACGTAATGGCACACATCACATTGCCGAGCCGGTCGTTTTGATTTATTTGTGGGGGTACACTTTGTGGTTCAGGCTACATTAAAGATGATAGAAGAGCAAGATCCTTTTCAGGTGGATAATAATAGATGGCTCAGTCCCCAATAAAAGCAAAAAACATGTCTGTGTTAGGTTAGCCAGTCGTTGCTTTTATTTAGATCAGAACAGGTTATTAAAAATTGGGCTTATCTGACATGTCCAATTTATAGTTTAAGTAAACAAGAAAATATTTCAACGTTGAGCTTTGATTAGCCGTTCCGTTGGAGTTCTAAATAAAAACCCTGAAAGTTGAGTTGTGTTGAGCCCAACTTGTGTGTTTCAGATTTAGCTCCAAATAAAGGATGCTTGAAGCTGGACTGAGTTTACCCAGCCTGATTTAATTTAAATTTACTACAATCAAAAATGTTGGAATCTGTTTGTCTTATTTTGTCTTTTAAATGTAGCTTAAAGACATCAAAGGTCCAGCTTTGTTTAGCCTATCTGATGTGGTTCAAACTTAGGTTTTGTTTAAACAAGAACAAATTTTCCAACTAAAAATTATTCTTGCAAACACTGCAGAGTTTTAAGAAATGTCTTCATCCACACTAAAACAGAGGAGATAATCCCAAAACGCTGTTGTAATCATTCTGGGTCTGAATGTGGTGCTGTAACGCTGCCACAAAAATACAACAAAATCTGGAACGACCGCGTGGAACGTGCACATAAAACTTGCACACAGAGTGCAAAATGTAAACACAGGAGTAGGAGGTCAGGTTTGAGTTGTAGGGTTTTCTCAAAACCCTGTCTACACATGGATGCAAGACTCAAACAATGAAAAAGTTTTGAATAGTTACTGAAAATATTTTGGTGTGGATAACTCTTTAGACATTTGAAGCCCAACTCTTGAGTAGCCGTCTGATTATGTGGTAAAAATAGAAAATAATTTATGAATTTGTTTTTTAAGACAGTGGGAGAAGCCATTCCTTATTGTAGGCACTACATTAGTATTTTAGTGTTTGCATTTTGCTTGTTTCCTTCTTGTTTGTGTTTCAAAATAACTTCTCTTTGGCTCAGTTAGTGCAATACTTGAAACACAAGAGAGCAGATCTAGCTCGTAGCGCTTCTTAAACTCAAGTACTGCAGAGGAAATTCAGCAACAAGACGAGACAGCACTGTTGTCTTCTTTATTTCTCAGTACACGTGGATTAAATCCCTCAAAAACACAAACTTCTTCCACAACTGCAACAACTTCTATTGATTTTTTTCTTTGCCTAATTTTGATGCCGTGTGAAGGAGTTGAGATATGAGACTCCTTGAAGAAACTTTAATCTAACTGGCCTGTTTCTGATTGCTCAGGTGTCATAATGTATTGTAAGAAGTCTAAATGAGACTCAAAGAAAGGTTGTGCTGTATTTGAAAGGAAGAACATTGTGCACTTTTAGATTTGTGTTACACTCTGCCTTTAGTTTTTATTTATTTAATTTAATAATAAATAATAAAGTGCTATGTGTTGTCATCATTGTATGTTCCCATACAAAGATGAAATTGGTTCTCTGCATTTAGCCCATCGCACCTGGGATACATCCAGGTGGAGCAGTGGGCAGCTATGAAAGCACCCGGGGAGCAATTTGGGATTAGGTGTCCTGCTCAGAGATACCATGAGATGTGCATTGACTGGGAATTTACCAGTGCAACTTAGTTTTGTTTGATTTTTTAAAATATATTGAACTTTTCTCTTAATTCAGATTCTCAGTAACTTGGGAGACTTCCAGTTTCTCTTCATCGACCTCGTCATAATTCTCATCATCGCCTTTACAAGTGAGCAACACGACGAGCAGCACAGCAGTTTTCAGCAAGCCTTGGTCTGAAGACAGAACAGGAAGGTGGTTTGCTCACAGCTTTATTTGTGTCTGTCGTCAGTGAGTCTGAATCCAGCATGGAAGGAACTGGTGTGGCGTCGCCCCCCATCTAGTCTGATCTCTGGCCCGCTGCTCTTCTCAGTTCTGACCCAGATCCTCACCTGCCTGGCTTTCCAGGTCCTGGCTTTTTTCTTGGTACAAAAGCAGAGCTGGTACGAGACGTGGACGCCTCAGTCTGAGTGAGTCCCATCTGTTGTAGCTTCTGAAGCCTCATCTACACTACTCCAGATATTTTATTCTCTGTTTATATTTGGTTCTCTCCACACGGTCTAATGAAAGGTTGACATACTCATACTGGGCCACTAGGTGGCGAGAACGCTCACATTAACAATGTATCACAACACAAAGAAAGAACATTCAGAAGCCAGACTTTAATCTACACCTTTGAAGCAATCTTTAGCTTTTTATTTTTATTTTCTGCATCTTCAGCTTTTTTTTTTTTTAACTTCAGCTGCTTTGTCTCTTTATTTTCAGTGCAGTTCTTATACCTGACCATGATGGGATGGCGTTCAGTGTGTCCTAAAAAGAGTGAGGGATCTGAACAAGTGGAGGTCAAAAGAAGAAATATTAGGACTGAAGTTTATTTACAACAGAACAGTATCAGAAAGTGATGCACCTAAGAAATCTTATAAAAAGACCCAGTACAGAACCTGAAAGATTCATCATCCTTCAGCCGACCAGCCTCTACATGATGAGTTTTCAGCTAAAAACTCTGGGAATCCCCTTGGTGCAGTCAAAACCTTATATTTTCTGTTTGTCAAACTGTGTTATCGTTGTAATATTTTATAAATTCAACAACAAAGTAGGACACATTGTTTTGTTGTGACAGTCTACTGGTAACACTGTGCTCAAAGATCCAATTTGAAACTGGATGTTTGTGTAGTTATCTGTTATGGGTCGACACAACTCTGGTTAGTCACTTCGGTTGTAGAGCCTTTTTATGCCTGATTGAGTGAAGGTGTCCTAACAAACAAAATGAAAATGACTGGCAAGCAGCCAAAGTCCAAAAGAACTTATAAGACATTCAGAAAGCCTAAAGAACCACTGATTGAAACCACTTTAAAGATTTAAAGACATTTTGGCTGCTCTGAAGAAAATATAAAGGAGTGAGAGCTGATTTCAAACTGTGAACAGCACAACACAGAAGTCTCCATAGTAATATAGCTGTTTTCACAAATATAAACTTTATTATTTCAAGTAAATTCCAGTTCCAGGTGTGCAGTGATAAACTGAAACAGAAGCAAGAGATAAACATGCCTTGTCCACACGCTGAAGCTTGTCTGTCTGCAGGCGTTATTTAAGAACTGTCCTAAAAGTTGTACCGTAGTAACAAACATGGTTGTGATGAGTGAGAGGAAACGGGATCTGTGAAACCTGTGAACACTCGGGCTACAAGTCCCTGTAAAGATAATTTAATAGCAATTAAATTCCATTCTTCTGTCATCTTAAAAAAAAAAAAAAAAAAAAAAGTCAACCCACAAACATGAGTTCAAAACAGGCTGCAGATGGAAACGGTTAGAAATGTCGTAACATTTCCTTCATGCTCTCCTGCAGTGCCTGCAATGGCTCCAGACCCGGGTTCTATCGCAGCCTGAACGTGACGACTTCCCCCGACCATAAAAACATCAGGAACTACGAGAACACCTCCCTCTTCTACGTCTCCTCCTTCCAGTATCTGATGGTGGCCATCGTTTTCTCCAAAGGGAAGCCCTTCAGGCAGCCGAGCTACAAAAACTGTGAGGCTTCTCCAGAGACGCAGTGTGTCGTCTCAGTAATTTCTGCATACAAGTTATAAATAGTATCTTATATGTTCTAGTTTTTGGATGACATCAATTTGGAGAAAGTTTTTTTTAAGTTCAACAGGGCTGAAGAGCTAATGGCTGGTCTGAAAGCAGCTAACACAAAAGTGGATTGCCGTCGTTTTAAAACGCCTCCTTTACAATTTTATAGCAGTTCATGCGAACACTGTTTTGTAAATGTCCTGGTGCTCAATAATCCAGGTAGATAAATCTAAAAAGATGAAAATTTTCAACAAAGAACCCATCCCGAGGACGTGAACCAACCTTTTTTGTAAACCTTCAGTTATGAAATACATAGTTATTCATATATTTCTATGTCTTTTGAACGTGCAAGGAGTGGCAGCAGCAGGTAGCTGTAGCACATCCAGCAGGAATTCCATGATAAATTTCCAACATAACCATATAATGTAAAAAGAACAAAAGTCTCTGCTTGAACCTTTGACATTTTGGAGTTCAAAGTTTTACCATATTAATGAGCTCAGAAGAAAATCCTTTTCCCTTTCACAACAACTTAGATGTCAAAGATTTAATAGTGATTCATGCAAACTTTATTTTATAAACCTTTACAACACCATAAATTTCCTCACTTCATGGTTACTTCAGCAGAAATGTTGTGAAACTTCTACCAAAGGTTAACCCCGGGCTGCAGCAGAATTGTTCCAGCTATCTGCTGCTGCTGTTTGCTTTTAATAAAAACACAGAATTATGTATAAAAATAAAAATCAAAAGTCATAAGAAAGTGGCTTCAGCGTAAAAGGTTGTAAAGTAGTGTTTGAATGAACTGCAGTGAAATTTAGAAAATTGGAGTTGTTTTAAAATGACAACAATCCACATTAGTTCTAGCTGCATTGGGACTAGCCGTTAGCTCATCATTCCCATCAGACCTAAACTGTTGTCCAAACTGAGGTCGTTAAAAAAAGATACCAGTAAGATATTGTTTATAACTTGTTTTTTAGAGGGCCCTACTTAGACATGTTCAAATGGTTCCTTTCATGTGCAATCATTTAATTTTATTGTATTTTTCTCCATAAGGGCCGTTCATGCTGTCCTGTGTTGGACTGTATTCTTTCCTCCTCTTCATCATGCTGTATCCTGTCCCCGCCATCGATCGATTCCTCGAGGTAAAACTGTCCTTTTTCTGCTTTTCCCTCTCTCTGGATGCCAGTAATCCTGGTGATTATTTGCTGGGACGTTGATGCAGTCCTTTTACTCCTATTTTTGTGATTTATAAGACCACGCAGGTGAATAATCCCCTGGATTAGTGACATTTACTTGAATAAGAGGAACAAAAACTGTTGTGCAAAGTTTCACCATGCCTCCCCTGACCCCCCTCAGATTGTGTGCGTTCCTCATGACTGGCGTGTGACTCTGGTCATCATCGTTGCGGCGAATGCGGTCGTGTCTTTCCTACTGGAGGTACGTTTTCCTGACATCTCACCTTCTGTCTCTCATCCTGTAGATTCAAGCCTGTAATCTGCTCCTCCCCGCCCCCTCACCAAATCAGTCCACAGCTGCTTCTTAAACAATGAAATCAGTGACTCTTCTTCTCTTGGTGTTAAATGGTGTGTGTTTCTGGGTCTGAAAGTCAGTCTTGATGATCAGCTGGTGAAATCTCCTGTAGATTTTGATCCTAGACATCATCCTGTGGAGGCTTGCTTTCAATCAAGGGGCAGCGGGCCCCGGAGAGTCCTCCTCTGCCCGCGCACCGCAGGTCAGAAACAACTTTTCTTCCTTCCGTTTAACCTAATCTCACTTTGTGGCACATTGTTCTTTAAAGACTTTAAGACTCTCTTACTTCCCTTTTCATTTTATTATGTGTATGTCAGGGTGTTTGTTTCTTTCTTTTTATTCTTGCATCATTTTTTCCATCAATACCTTCTCGTAGTTGTAAAAGCTCGCTGGACAAAATCTTGTTTTTCCTAAAGCTTGAAGAATCCGATTCAACCACAACAAACAGGTGACTTTAATATGTGTGCTTGTGTGGCTGTCTGTTAGCAAAATATCTTTTGAACCACTTTATTTATTTTAATAAAACTTTAGGAAAATATTAATTGAATATAAATCTGCTACTCATAAACTTTTGGTACCAACGTAATTCAAGATGGCCGTCACAGCCCACTAACCTTGAAAACACAAACATGGCTATAACTTAGTGAGTATTTCAGATTTTATGCTTAAATGTGTTTTCAGTTGTTGCTGAATCTTTCCCAACACATACTCTGTGATCTTGCTTGAGATTAAGCATAAAGTTATTTTTAATGTTTAATCAAAATAGTTACCCCTTCTCATCCTAAGATGGTTTATTTTAAACTCTGCCATGGAAGGCTGCAGGTGTACTTGGTAATAATGAGAAGTCTTTAGTTCTTGAAGCATTACAAAACATTAGCTGGGTTTTATTTAATTTCTGTTTGCATCGTCATCTTTAATACCCCATTGTCTCTCTTTCATTTTAAATAATTAGACTCTTTGTTTGTAACGATCATCACACTTTACTTTGGAGACACAGTCACTTTATGAAAGTCAGATTTTTTTTATTGACTGTCCTGCTGTTTGGAAGAAGCAGCAAAAAAATTTTTATGGGAGAATCTTGAAATGTGCTTAAAGCTGAAACTGAGTTGATACAAGTAAAATAGGAACATTAGCTAAAAGAATCAAAACACCAGCAAAACGCTAAAAGTACCAAAGTGTTAGCTAGAAGGTAAAGGTAGTGAAACACTAGGGGAAAAAAAGAAGTTAACTAAAAATAGCAAGGGCTAGCTAAAAGTAAAAAAAAGCTAGTTAAAGGCAAAAGTAGTAAAAGGCTAATTAAAAGTAACAAAATAATAGCTAGAACTTAGAAGCTAAAAGTGGCAAATACTAGCTCAAACCAGCGAAAACTAAAAGCAGCAATTGGATAACTACAAGCTAAAATTCTCAATAGTCTAGCTAAAGTTTAAAAAAATAACGAAAAGCTAAAGTAACAAAAGGAGAGCTAAAATATTCCAACGGCTATCTAAAAGCTACAAATGACAAAATGGTAAGTAGAAGCTAAAAGTAGCAAAAGGATAGCTAAAAATAGCAAATGTGTTGCAAAGTGTGCCTAAAAGCTGAATGTTGCAAATGGCTAACCAAATGTATCAAAATGCTAGCTAGAAACTGAAAGTATCTAAAAGCTAAAAGTAAAAGTTTGTAGCCAAATGTTAAAAGTAGCAGAAAATAACGCAAATCTGGATAAATTAAAAAGCTAGCTTAAAGTAGCAAAATGATAGCTTAATAACTAAAAGAAGCACAAGAAGACAAAAGTTTGCTGAAGCATAATTTAAAGAAAACTGTGTATTTAAAGGAAATAAAAAGATCTAATTTCTAAGGGGAAATATTAAAAAAAAGTTCAAAGTTTCTTAAATTTAAATGGCTAAAAATATGCAAAAGTAGTTAGATAGCAAAGAAGCATTACAGAAAAATAAAACAGGGAAAGAGTGCTGTGAATCCTAAATGAGCATTTACACACAAAGCTGAATACTGTTCCTTTAGTTGTCATGTTTGATGCGTTCACAGGAGGCCAACGACCGCTGGGGGGCGACTTTCCTCTCTCGGTTATTCTGTCAGAGGAACAAGCCCCCGAGGGTGCTCTACAAGCAGCTCGCTCTGGAGCTGCAGGATGCTGCCGACTGGCCCCCCAAACCCTCCTCGGTTACATACGCCAGTGACCCACTGCTCTGCATCTCTGCTTCCCTCTGATTCAGACAGACTCGGCTTGATGTTTAAACCAGCCTGGTGTTCAGAATGAGCTACAAGCTGCTGGACTCCAGCAAGAAGGACTCAATCAGGACTAATTAACCAGCACTGTGAACTCCTCATGTTTAGTCCTCCTTCACTTGGATTCACCTCATCTTCTTTTAAACCTTGAGTTTTATTTCTAACTGCTGAAACTTGAACCAGATTGCAAAAAAAGAGTTTCTGCACTCATCCTGTAAAATAGGAAGGCTTCATCAGCCTTTAGTTTTTTTAAAGCAGGGACCAACAGCTGACATGGCTCAATATGCTGCCTTCAAGGTCACTTTTTAAAGAGATGTTCATGTGTATTTACAAAGACAATGTTAAACCACATTCTGAAACATTACAAACCCATGACTGAGGACGAAGAGAAAACGGCTAATAACTGTCCTGCAGTTCCCCCCGTGCCCAATAAACAATGTGGGAAGACATTAGGAATCAAAAAACATCAACGTTAAACCTATTCCAGCACACATGGAAGTGGTGTTCTGTGGAAAACTTATGAATAGTTAATTTTTAATCTGTTTCATATGACACCAAAAGGACTTCTGTGTTTGGTTGAAAATTTTGTTATAACAATACTTCTTGGTAGGGATGCACGATATTGGATTTTTGGCCGACATGTTAAAACTTATTTGGCCGATTACAATGCCGATATTTGATATACTTTCTTTTGTCTCTTATTTAGGCTCAGTTGCTACAAAAATTGTGTAACAGCTGTAAGAGCTGGTGACATATATTCAGTAACAACCATATGATATGCAAAGCACTTTAACTTATATTAAATGAAAAGTGTTAAATGTTATTTATTAGCATTAGTCACCTGTGATGCTGTCTCACTTGTGGAGGCTTGTTCCAGGTTCCTAGCTGCAGTGAGGGATCCTCTGCACTCCTGCATGGACAGACTTTTTAAGCTCAAGGTTTTTGCCTAGCCATTGTGCCGTAACTAATCATGCTAACGGGGCTAACACGACCATGTCTGTGGTAAAACTCACCCAAGTGCTATCGGCTATTAGCTTCTCAATGACGTCGGGAATGACGGCTTGTAACTCGGGTAACGTATGGTTGGAAAAATATCTCAGACTGGGGACGATGTAGCGAGGCTCAACGCAGTCCATAAATCTAAAAAAGTTAAGTCTGGTCCTGTGGACATTCACATTTTTGCATGTCCAGAGGACCAGACTTAACTGTTTTAGATTTTTCTACCTGGATTATTGCGCATGCATCAGGGTATTCCAAAAATCTTCGGAATCCGGCATCCTCACCAACGAAAAATAAAACTTCCACACCACCGACATTTTGAATTTTCCTCTCCACCGTGAGATCAGGTAGGCGTGTGTGACGTCATCGCGTTGTGCTGCCGCTGCAGGCAAAAACTGTGTCTTTTATATTGGTGAGTTATTTTAATGGCATGTCCGATACTGAACTTTATCACTAATATTGACCGATAATATCGTGCATCCCTACTTCTTGGTAATTAAAATTTATACCGTAGGATTTCCCCTAAATGTTACCATACTTGTCAGGATAAAATATATGAGCAGCATAGAGTATATACGTAGATTGTGCCCATGAAAAATTTTCTCTGCAATGCCAAATGGCTTATTCTGCTATTGACTCTTGTTTTGAGGTTGTTGTACCCCAGGTGCTGCCTAGCAGGTTCCTGATTGATGCCGTCACAGTCTGGGACCAAACATTCTGGGTCTGAGTTTGCATGTTCTCTCCGTGCATGCGTGGGTGTTCTCCAGGTACTCTGGTTTCCTCCCACAGACCAAAACACGCATGTTAGGCTGATTGGTAACTCTAAATTTTCCATAGGTGAGAGTGAGAGACTGAATGGTTGTTTGTCTTGTTTGTCTCTATGTGTCCCTGTGATGGACTGGAGACCTGTCCAGTGTGTCCCCCACCTCTCACACAGTAATGGCTGGACATGGGCACCAGTGACCCCTGTGACAAAGAAAGGAAGAAGCAAGTAAAGATAATGAATTTATGGAAAATTCAGTTATTAACACAGAATATATAATAATAATCTGATTTCAACAGTCTAAATTATCATGGTTGTTAGTAGGGATGGGGCCGATCCAGCATCCGTATCGGCCTCCGATACCAGCATAATTTACGTATCGGATTTTCCGATCCTCCTGCCGATATTTCCGATCCATGATGCAAGTTGGCTTCAAACTATGGAATGGATTTCCTGAACGGCGGCGTGTCTCATGAACCCAGAGTAATAAGACCCGCCTCACATTCAGGAAATCCAGTTCATAGTTTGCAGCCAGCTACAACGTGAGGACTGAGTTAGCAGCACTGTGGCTAACAGCTAACAAACTTTTCATCTAAACATGTCCGCTGTGTGGAAGTATTTTACACTAAACACCACAAAGCAATGCAGCAACATGCAATGTCTGCAGAGCCATAGCGCCACATTAAACCACGTTAAAGTTAATTTAAAGTTAGTTTTACGATGGACATTCGAGCTCCGTGGCTTCAGCGGGGCGCTACTCTTTGGTCAAAGCGGAAAGAGGCGACTCGACCTCGGCCAGCCACATCCAATCTGCCCCGCCCAGTCTGCCCGTCTCCGAGGAGGGACAGACTGAGCGCGGCTGCACCAAAACAGGCTGCCTGCTTCGGATTGAACAAGAAGACATCGCTGAAACCACGGAGCTCAAATGTTTTACAGAGAAGTTGTTAAACTTCATCATAATTAATGACCAACCACTATCAGTTGTAGAAAACGAAGGATTTCTCAGCTTGATACTTACAGTCAAGATATAGTTTACCCTCCAGGAGATATTTATCAGTACAACAGTAAACAATCATAAAAAACATTATTTGAAAATTATATATATTAAAAACATAAACAGCTACATTATAAAGTGATGTAAATAACTAAAAACAGGAACTTGTCTGTTGGTTTATGCCATGAACGTAGCAGATGTTTGAAGCCATTTAACATTTTATTTTATTAATTTGTTCATTCATTTAAATGAAACAATTTTTTTTTAAATCATCAAAAAGAAAATATTGAATGAAAAGAGTGCAGAAAGAAGAAAAAAATTCTTATATCTGCCCCTTATTAAAAAAAATATAAAACAACTTTAAACAATCACTTAAATTAATCACTTTAATATCCACTTTAAAGCTAGGAATTAAAAAAACATGTTTTGTGTTAATTCTAACTTTAAAACTTATCCAACATTAATAAAACTTACCTCAAGTTGCCTTTTTGGACATGCATGCATGTATTTGTACAAATTGTGCTTGAGAGGAGATTATTACAGCCTCATATAAAATCAATGATGATCATGATATCGGAACTGGATCGGTATCGGCCGATACTCAGAGTTAGGTATCGGGATATCGGATCGGAAGTAAAAATAGTGGATCGGTGCATCCCTAGTTGTTAGCAGACTTTATGCTAAGCTAACTAGTGTCAGATTTATTTTGGCTGCTCCCTCCTGCAGGGGTCACCATTGGGAGTGGTAGTGTCAGATAGTAGCTTCATATTGGTCTGCAGAGCTGTTCATCTGAAACAAGACAGGCTGTATTTTCTTATAACATTCCACTTTATTAACAGTGGCAAACAAAATCCAACTACTACAGAAGACTCTGATTTTAGTTTAATGTGTTTTTTTTATTTTTATTGTGAACCTGTTTTAAAACTTAATTCTAAAGCAATATGTTGCTGTTTTTATTACAACACTGACCATCATGCAACAGTTTTTAGCGCCTAATGACAGGTGTTGACGCTATGAGAGGAACTTTTTTTTAAATCACAGTTTAAAGAAACAAGAGGCTTGTGCTTGTTAAGTTTATTTACTTGACCTGCACTGATGAATTTTTGAGAAAGGAAAAAAAAAAAACTTATTGGCTTCATTTTTCTTTTGTAGTTAAGGTTCTTCCTGTGGAAGAGATAAACCGATTTGAATGCATCACTTTTTAAAAGGATAATTCAGCTATTTTAAAATGGGTTCTGTGGAAAAGTCATGAATAGTCAATATCTTACCTGTTGAGGATAACTCTTTGATTATCCCCAGTTTAAAGGATTTAATCCTGACTAAAGGAATGATGGCTAGCTTAAACTCAGCCAAGACCAAAATTATCTTAAAAAGGCTGTAAAATTTCATAACGTTTGCCATTTCTGATTAATTTACTCCACTGTCACTGCTAGCATAATTGAGAGCAGCAGTATTTGTAGCACTTTCAGTGCAGTTTGTGGTCACTTTTTAGCAGGAATATAATATTTTTGCCCCTGAGAGTGCAAATGAATATCTATTGTATTTTCTGCCGTACCCGTCGCTCCGCCCTATAAGTCGCATCAGTCCAAATATGTCTAAAAAAGTGGAAAAATCCATAAATATGTCGCTTCGCTGTATACGTCACATCTATTATGCGTCACCGCTGACGCGTTGCGTTTGTTACACGTCACCACTGACAACCTGGAAATGTGGACCGGTGTTGTGCCAAAAATTGATGGCGCGGGAGCATGCACAGGAGGACTTTAACAAGAATTTAACTAGATTAATATTTCAAAACAATTATTTGTTTACTCCAAATTATAGTAAAGGTGTGTCTCAGTCTACCTTTTGTTTAAT